ATTAATGTTAATGCTAAGTTCACTCTTGCTTACAACAAGGCATAACATCAACACAGTAACAGAAAAGTGCAATTAAATCACATTCCTTGCGCGCCGATATCATCAGCGTCAATGCCCAGCATTGCCATGTCATCGGCATCAAGCGTACTTGAGCTTTTGGCAGGTATTGATGGTGGTCTTGGACCACCCATGGGGGGCACTCCCATAGGTGGAGGTCCCATTGGCATACCCATAGGACCCATTGGTGGCATTCCCATTGGTGGAGGTCCCATAGGACCCATAGGGCCCATTCTTGGACCACCCATAGGAGGTACACCCATTGGGCCCATCGGGCCCATGGGCCCAGGCGGATACGTGCCTGGAGGGTAGGTTCCGGGTGGACCATCATACATGCCCATTCCCATACCTGGTGGGCCTGGCATGGTCCCATCCATACCCATGCCCATGGGAGGTTGGCTGGCATTCTGGTTTGTTCCATCCATGCTCATGCCCATTGCAGGTGGCGGCATCGCACCCATCATGGTTGGAGCACTTTCCATCGAGGGGTACATTCCATCAACTCCCATTGGGGTAGTAGTAATCATACCAGGAGGGGGATTGCTGAGATTTGGCATTGGCATGAGATTAGGTGGGGGATTTTTGACATCAGGTAATGGGGAATCATCATCTCCTGGTGGCCTCTCTTCCTGGGGTTTGGAAGGGTCAGGGAAAATAATTTCCAGTGCATCTTGGAAATCCTTTGACAACCCTGGTCCTGATTCCGCCTCCTCTTCTAACTCCATAGGAACAGCCTCATCAGCAGTTGGGTGCGGTGTGGCCTGCACTTTTTCCATCAACTGCATCTGTTCGGAGAGCTTTTTCAGTTGCATCTTCATGTCAGAATCTTTGTTATTCTTCATTAAGTTGTCTATTGAAACAGCAGGTGTTTTAGACAGAATTAAAGTTGACTTAGGCATAGGTGCTGCAACAGTTGAAACTGAGGCTAAAGTACTTGTCGGCGACTCCACAGTTCGAGCAGTGCCATCTAAAAGCTTTGCTCTATATTCCATAATACTAGCATTAATTTGAGCGGCACTAGGAGTAGAGGCTGGACCCCTGTCTTTCAATGAAAGACCATCAGGAGTTAGGGCGACAGCAGGCGACATATTTTTACCGGGTGTGGAGTCGGCTCCAGGAGACATAGGGGGTGATGAATTTTCATCTTTAGATTTGTCATCAGCTCCTTTCTTTGAAAAGTTCTTGAAAACAGGCATCCTCCCAATAAATGGAAGTTTGGATTTAATGGTCATCACTGGTTGCTGTTTCCTTCCAGATTTCCTGAACTCGGCACTCTGCTTCTCGAAGTTCGTCTCATCGTCTTCCTCTTCCCTTTGAGGTGGATGCCGTCCGTCTTCGTCCCTGTCTCTTCCCCTATCCCGCCTGTCGTGATCCCTGTCCCGGTCTCGCTCACGATCCCTGTCTCGGGGTTCTCGGTCACGTTCCCGATCCCGATCCCGCTCTCGTTCCCTGTCCCGATCACCTCTATCCCTTTCCCTGTCGCGATCGCGACCTTTGCCTTCGTTCATTCGCCTGTGAGGTGGGGGGCTCTCCCGGACGATGGCGCCGGGCGGGGCCGCAAAGCCCGAGGCATCCCAGCGCGAGTCGTCATTCCCTCCCCTGGACCTCCTGTTCCTCGGGGGCGTCACGTCGCGGGTGAACTTGTTTCTTCCAAACTGAGGCTCAGGGAAGAACTTCCTGTCCTTGTGAGGTTTTTCCTTGTCGCCTTTCTGGTCACGGTCAGTCTCTCTCTCCTTGTGACTGTCTTCATGCTTGCGCTTCACCCGATCCTTCAAGTTGTTCAACATTTGGTTCTCTGATTCTTCTACAGGTAGCCACTCTCTCATCATCCGGTCGTCAGGTGCATTTGCATGGCGACCTCCGGAGGGTCGAGGACTGGCGCCATTCTTACGATCTGGAGAATCCCATTTACTTTTCAATTGAGATGGTGCAATGACTGGATGGTCCTCCGATTTCTGCAATAAACATACAAAAAAATATAATAAGTGAAATTTTAAGGAACAACAAAACAAGGTCATGGAATTGAGTTTTGAATGTTGATACTAACATCATTACTCTTGTTCCTCATCGCAACTCTAATACTCTTCGATTTGTCTGTCTCAGAGTCCCGGTCGTGGCTTTCTTTCACTCTCGCACGATTGCGAGCTTGTTCCTTCTCCTTCTGTCTGGCTCTCTCTTTGTCATTATCAATTCGTCTTTCTTTAACCCAACCACCAGTAGCTTCTATGTCTTGGTTACGGTCTGCAGAACCATTACTTGATCCACTACACGACCGCCGCTTCTTTCCTTTCGATTCGGATTTATCAAATCTTTCTTGACGTGACTGCCGTTCTTTAATCGGCTGCTCAGCTGATTCTGACTTCTTGATCACCTACAGGTGAACGACGAATAAGTAACGATGAATGGCTTACAAAAGAATACTAAACATGTACTGTATTTAAAATTTGACAAACCTGATGTCCGTCTGATTTTTTCTCTTCTTTGACCTCAGACAAGCGCTCATAGGCTTGCTCTCTTTCAGAAAGCCAATTTGACTCCCATCCATCGTTCTCCTTGATGAAGTTCTAGTGTGACAGAAAAAAGTTGACAAACCAAATGTCTTAGAAATCAGTTTGATATAGAGGATTTGTAACAACAATTAAGATTGTGAAACTCACATGGTATTTGGTTGCATGAAGTTTAGACTTCAGATGGAATGAAGCACAGTGAAGGTCGCCCATCCAAACAGCACACAGTTTGCAGTACCAGGCTGGAGCAGAGATGAAAAACTGCAAACCTGTAATCAAACAATGTTTTGAACATGACATTAATATTATGGAGTCAACAGATAGACATGTTTAAGGGATCTACAAACGTTTTGGATAATAATACACAACAAATTAAAAGAACATGCTCACTTTGTCAAGAAAAACATTTATTTCAGTCTAACAAATACTTCACAAGAAAACAGGAGGAAGCAGGGGGAAACAAAAGTTTTGATGAGAATACAAAATAAGGCATTACTTATCACCTTGAAAATTTATAGGCAGAACAAGATAAAAAGATGAATGACTATTTCGAGTACCTAATTGGTTGACACCTAAATG